GAAAAAAAAGGCAGAAAAGTTATGTGAATTGATAAATGGAAAATGTGGACAACCTGACTAGATATCCTGGGGATGGTGGACGGACTGGGTCCGTAGGGAACCCTACCGGGAACGTGGTCTCTCATATCAGACGGGGTATGGAGACCTTATGTGTTTTTGCGCCCATACCGGACGGGGTATGAGGACGGCCCCGGAATCAGGTTGTAATGTTAATGGATCACGGGTAGCGGGGACCCTCTATGGATTCCCATGGATACTAGTAGCTGATAAATGAAGAAAATATGTTGTTTAATGATTGAAATGCAAATGCGTGGTAAGTGTTATGTTATAAAGTCTATATGATTTCATGATGATGATAATGTTATTGCTTTCATATGTTGTTTTCATGGATCTCACCGAGTTAAGTGGACAGTAAAAGTTTTTGTGTTAATAAACGAATTTGTTATAAATTATGTTCCATTAGTCATTTTTGTTTTCTATCCACCTTTACTTCCGTGGCGGTGAGATAATGTGATGTCTTTACTGGGCTGGTGTAGCTTATTCCTTATTTAACCATTTCTGATCAGGAAGACGTTGTTCCCGAGCCCGTTCCGCATGAAGACGGCGAAGGGGACGCTTAAAGACTTCGTAGTTATATTTATAGTTCTTATTTCGAGTATCTCTTTTAGTTAGTTTGTTCCTTCATGTTTTGAGTACGTTTTGGTTATTGTGTAAGTGATGTTAATCAAATTTTTTTTTTTCGTTTCCGCATTTGAGATTTTTAATACATACATTTTATTTAAATTTTCGGGGCTGTTACATTATCAATGCTTTCCAATAAGTTTTCAAACTAGAGATTATATTTATGTAATAGCTGAATGAACCTATTTAAAAAACAAGTTAATCAATAACTCAATCTTTTATATAATATACTACTTAAGATAATTTATAAAATCAACAAAGTAGCATAAAAATAAGGACTATTTATTAATAGTAAAATTCATAACGTTTTTTAATGTTTCTCAAGTAATTAGAGACTCCACTTCAAAATGATCCAATTTTATTACTAGCCAACGTATAACAAATATTGGAAAGAGGTTAATTAGTCAACATAGTAAATCTTTTATATAACTATCGGTACAATGGGTTAGTAAGAAAATTCTTAAAGTAATGTAGAAATATACAACAAAATTTCGACTCAAATATAAAAACTTTTTCATTGAAAAATTCAAAGTGTACCATAAAATAAAGAGGAAACTAATAAAACAAGATTGATTATGCGTAATTGAGCCACCGTAATTTGTTAGAAAGTAGATTGAGTAGACATACCTAACACTCAACCTACATGCCATTCATTAATAGAATGAAAAGAAACACCTTGCTTGGTTCTCTCATCTCACAGTTTCATTTCTCTGTAAATCAATTCTTCTACTACGTTTGGTCGTTTCTTCTCTACATAACATGTATAAAATGTAGACACTGTATTCATACGGTGGCATTATATAAGGGCCTGTTTGGGCTTTTGACAACTAGAGAACTGAAGAAGTTAGGTGCTTATTTAGATGTTACTACATTATAAGAGTTTGTTTGTGTTTTACTTTTTGATTTGATGATTTTTTAAAAGAGAATTTTTTCATTAAACTACGAAATAGCAGTATAAATTGCATTATTCTATTTTCATAGCATGATGTATATTGGTATTATTGTTTATTAAAGGAAGAAAATTGGACATTAATTATTAGCTTATAAAAATCTCGGAAGTACATTCAAAAATAAAAAATTTACTTTCCTAAAAACATGGTAGATGGCTGGGCTGCTCACTGGAGAGCATATTACAGGAAAACACCGGCAGTTGGCGTCGGAGCGAGGAACAAAGATAGGGAGGGAAAGAGGAAACAAAAAAGAAAAAAAAGGAAAGTAAAGTAGAAAGGAATTAAATAAAAAACAGAAAACGTAAGAGCAACAAAATCTCTCTCTCAATTTATTAATAATATTAAGTCCAATCGCTTTTCTTGGAAAACCCAAAAAATCCCTTTTTTATTCTTTTTCTCCTCTGCTACTTCCATTTTGAATTAGGGCTAGGCTTCCTTCTTCTCTCTGCTGTCTTCTGGAGCTTAAAACCCTAATCTCCCTCTTCGCACCCCACCCTTTCCCGCCATTTTCAGCCCCATCTGAACCGTTCATTCCTTATTTTTTAATTCCCGCCATTAGATCCCCTGACTTTTCCACCTTTTTCTTTTTTACCCTTTCCCTCCCGGAGTTCACCGGAAATGTCGCCCGTTGAAGTCAACCAAAAGGTTGAGGAGGAAGGGACAAGTGTAGAAAGGGGAGGAGAGCTCTTGTTCTGCGGGGCTACCTGCTGGGATATCGTTGGTCGCCGCAAAGGCGCCCTTGAAGGTAACCTCGTCTCTCCTACTCGTCTCCGGCCTCTTGTTGGTGTCGACATACGGTTCGTGGCCTCCGGTTGTGGTAACTTTCAGTTCATCTCGTTGTCTCCTTATATATATATATATATAGATATATTATCTGCCGGACCTTTTTACTGATAGACACGTTTTTCCTCTGCTTCTACTTGAAGATCTTCCATGTGGAAACATTATTCTGCATGTTCAACTTATTTCGTCTTCGCAACAGTAATGCTTGTCTAATTGGTTGCTGCGCTTACCAGATTTTTGTTTATTTGTTACATTCTGTTGGGGTTTTAGGGTTTTGTTCTTGTTTCTTCCAAACATTATAATGAAGTGGGTTTTGATTATTTCCCTGTAATGTGGATTCTAGCATCCTGTCATTGCGTGGCATTGGATGTTCAAGGGCGCTGCTATACGTGGGGTCGCAATGAGGCATGATTACACTCATCAGCATACTTCTCCTGTTTTATTCTTCTAGTTGTTAATGTTTTTTCGCACGATTAAACTCTGAGGTTAACTTCTGTCTTCAGAAGGGGCAGTTGGGTCATGGAGATAAGATTCAGCGTGACAGGCCGACTATTGTTTCTGAACTCTCAAAGTAAGTTGATCTCTTGTTTCTCGAATAGTGTTATATTTGATATATAAAAAGACATGGACCATATTTTTTTTTGTCCTCGTAACCAGATCATGTTCCCACTACATTAGGCTACAGCTGTGATCTGTAGGAGGTTGTAAGGCAGAGGTGGATACCTGCAATTATGTGATTATGGAAGTATTTTGAACTAACGTACGACATTTATGGAAAGGATGTGAGAGAGAGTTTGAATTGATACAAATATCCAGTTTATCGTTTTTTCTTTGATTATGCAGCAGTACTTAATAGTTATATAAACTTTTCATGTAAAAGATCCCGATGCCAAACAAGTATTGATATATATATATATATATATATATTTTCATTTTCATGTTAAGGCAAACAAATGCCAGCATTTATTTTGAGAGACGGCAAATAAATCTAAACCTGGTTTCAGTTCCTTTTCAAAATTTGAAAAGTTTAAGATATGGATATGGAAATGGAGGCTGTGTTATTGTTCATCAAGATGAGTGGCAGTGGGAGTTTTAACTCATTATTTTGTCGAAATTTGCACTGCACCACATTTACTTATGGAGTAACACCATATAAGAGTCTTTGGAGGATCCTCCAGAAATTTAAGCATTGGGAGTAAATCAGAACCTTTTCAAGGATTGAATTAGAAATGTTGATTGGATGATTTATAGAAACAACTAATTTTGATGATCTTTTTTGAAGGTATAAAATTGTCAGAGCTGGAGCAGGGAGGAGCCATTCAGTCGTGGTCACAGACAATGGTCAGTTGCTGGGCTTTGGCTGGAATAAACATGGGCAGCTGGGTTCAGGGTCAACGAAAAATGGTAGGTTCAGTTAGAGATGGAAATTATGATGTTGTTTTATAGTTTTTTTTAATTGATTTCATGTTGATTTTATTATTCCTGCCCGCAAACTTGCTTAAGATTTTGTTTTCATGATTACTGCATGAAGACAGCATAAATTCACAACTGGGCTCTTTTTTTTTTTTTTGTGAAGTACAGAACTAGGTTCTTATTGACTTTTTTAATTGGCTTTAGTATTAAGAGGGACTAAAAGTAGTGAGGTTTCTGATTTTTTTTTACTTCGAGTTTTTGGTTTCTCTCATGTGAGGATGATGGTACTAATTTTCATGGTGTTGCTCTGCAACGTATTGGATCTGATGGAAAATGTCTTAAATTTCATGTTAGATAGCAACATATAGTTTCAATTAAGAGGTCCTCTTTAAGAAGTTGATATATAAATGCATCTGTATTTTGTGTAAGGATCATCCCTTGAATAAACTGAAAGATTTAGAGGACCTTATAGATATAACAAATATGTGAAAGAATTAGGGGACCTTATAGATATAACAAATATGCTTTGGTAAATCTTTTGTATAAGGGTGGCACCCACTTGATGCCTTTAGAGTGAATTATTTTTTTCCCGAAAAAAGAAAAAAATTTCAAGGAACTGGGGTGGTATTATTGTAGAGTTTCTTTGAGAATGTCTTTCCCCCTTCCCCTTTTAGAACTCCTGAACTTGAAGTGATTTTTAGTTACCGATTGTCTATCTGTTTATCAATATTCAATTGTAAGGCTCAATTAGTTGATTTGATAGTGTCCATCATGATTTGTAATTTATAATTAGTTTAGTTGTTTAAAAAGCTAAAAACAAAAACTAAAGAAAGGTTTTTAAGAAAGAGGATGTCATGATCATAGTTCCAAATTGATTTGGCATGTTAGTGAGGGTGTCTTCGTAACTTATGATTAGTTCACTTGTGACACTGCCAAAAATGGAAATTAAAAAAAGGTTTTGTAAGAAAGAGGATGTCATGATTGTACTTCCAAATTTGATTTGGCATTTTTGTCAGGGTGTCTAACCTTATTTTGCTAGTGTGTTTTATATCTGGTTGTTACTTTACTATTGTGTTTTATGAATCCCCATGAAATCATTTTTCTTCAAATAGCACCATTTTTACGTATTTTTGAGTTACGTGTATCTCTTTTGTAGAAATCGAGTCATCTCCTGTTCGCTGTCTTGTTTCTGAAGTAAAAGATACTGCATGTGGGGCTGAGTTTACTGTCTGGTTATCATCTATAGAAGGAGCTTCTATACTGTATGTGTTTGTGGATTTCTTTTGGTTTTATTTTGTTTAAACACTTGTTTATTTGAAGTTGGTAATTCGTTTTGACTGCACGCTGATTCACAAAATATTTGTATATTTGCTTGTCTCTAGAACTGCAGGCCTGCCACAATATGGTCAACTTGGACATGGAACAGACAATGAGGTACATCCAAGGAAGATTATCTTTGCACATATCTTTTATATTTACCAATTACCTAGTAGGAATTAGGAATTTATAATTTGTTATTCTGATGGTCAATTGGTTAGAATAGTTCTAGTTTGTTGGCATTCTCTATTTTAGCCTATATTAGTTAGGTGGTAGACCATAAAAAGTAAGGTTGTGTCGTCATTTGTGACAAGCGATGATTGCAATATTTTGAGATTTCCCCAAATCTCTCTGAAATGTTCTCTTTCCTGGTTACTCTTCCAAAATCTCAAGCTTATTGGTGGAGTCATGGCCTAGGGTCCTAAGAACTTGATATTAGAGCGGTGTAATCTTCTACCTCTTGCACTTTTTTCTTTCTTTCTTTCTTCCTATCTCTAAACCACCTAATCCTTCTTTTTGCTCCTCACTTCTCTCTTTTCTGCCTTTCCTCTTCTTCCTCTCCTCATACAATGTACTATTTTTACTAAGCTACATCATGGGATTCAAGATCTAGATGAAATGTTTAGCATCTCTATTGAAACTTTTACAAGTTTGAAGAAGTTTATGAATGTTGAAGGTCCGTACTTGCCAGGTTGACAAGATTTTGAGTTGAATAATCACTGTTTCAGCTAGCTTCAGCAGGAGCACCAACAGATAAGTTGACAACATCACAATAGGACCTTATGAAACCATTGAAGATAAATCCAGTTCTAAATTTGTTTGAATCAAATACATCTGGAACAAGCTAAGTTGCACTCATGAATTTGAGGAGCCTGAAATCAGAAAACTCAAATTTTCTCTTTGATTCACTTGCAAGCAAGCTACCAGTTCAAAATCCTTGTTCATATCTACACATCTGCTCACTAGACACACTATGTATAATGATTG